CATCGCAGTCCTCCAGCCTGACAAAAGGCAACAAGACCACCCTCGAGTCTCAGCAATTGGCATCGCAGCCTGTCCAGAACGCCGACAGCAGTAAAGACCAGTGCCCCAAACTGTACCAACGGAATTGCCTGCTAAGCGTGCTGCGACCGCTACGAGATAGCCATGGTCACCGACCAGAGTGTTCGACAGCCCCGCAAGGCGAGGCATTGCGTCCACGAGAGGGACCCCACAGACGCAGCCAATACGATGACAGCTTCACAGAATGTCCTGCCGCAGGTGCCAAGACCAGCCATGAATTATGTTTTCGGCCACACATCACAGAAGTTGTGTACCCACTCTTGACACCAGCTTGGGATACGCTTTCGGCAACCCTCGTCCGGCGTTTTACGTCAGCCGCTGATTTTGCGGCCCGTCCGAAGCACGCTGTCAGGTGCATGTTTAGCTGCTTCCCACAGAAAGTCTCTGCATGGTCGAGACCAACCACAAGGATGCAGCCAGTCTCAAACTCCCGATAGACTTGTGGCAGACTCCGGCACCTAGTTCCAGCGTGGTCGAAGCCGACCTCCGAGATGCAGCCAGTATCGACCACCAGACTTCTGGCAGATACCTGGACAAAATCGCATCATGGCCGAGAGCGTTGGCCACAACGGGGCAGCCAGTGCCGGCCGCCTGAGTCCACAGCACTTTTTCAAGAGACATTGGTGTGGAAAAGAGCGACCGGCTCGAGGCAGCCAGTGCCGTCCACCAGAGACGCTTTCCCCAGACCGTCGCTCCATCTTGCATTGTGGTCCGGGCTGACCACCACGATGCAGCCAAGCCTGCCCATAAAAACTTTGCCGCCAGCTCCGCGCGCGCAGTCAAGGCCGAGTATTATGACCAAGAAAGACACTGGGGCTTTGGCGCGCGGATAGCTAGAGCAAGGAGGAGGAAGATGAAGTCAGAATAAGAACAGCTGTCCCAGGATCGGGTGTTGTCTCTTGTTCTCTGTCTCGCTCGTCACAATATATATATATATATATACTGCGGCGGCTGCATTTTCGATGAAGGCGGAAATGTTGTAGGCCCGTGTGCTCAGATTTGGGTGCACGTTAAAGAACCCCAGGTGGTCGAAATTTCCGGAGCCCTCCACTACGGCGTCTCTCATAATCATATGGTGGTTTTGGGACGTTAGACACACATATCAATCAACAATATATATATATATATATATTGTGGGCATTATATATAAATAAATATATATATATTGTGGGCATATATACAAATAAATGACCACTACGCCACTATAAATAACCACTAGGCCATCGCAAGGCGGCGATGGCGTAGTGGTTAGAGCGTCAGCCTCCATGCAAAGGTCCGTGGCTCAAAACGCGGTGCCGCGCAGTTCCAAACCGGATAAAAAAAAATCCGCGTGGTGATGGAACTGCATTAAGAGGCCTGGTGTGCGGCCTCACCGATAACCACCGCCGGGAACGCACACCCTCACCAGAGAAGGATTGGCCACCCTGGTGCAGTATCTGGCCACTACTTCCCACATGCATACGTCAATTAACTCACGGCCCTCAGTCCCCAGCAGCTGCGAAGCAACTGACCACGGCGGCGGTCAGATCTGCAACGGCGGCGTTCAGATCTGCAGAGGGTGCTAAAAATCTCTGGATCCGCACAAGCCGCCATTGGAACCTGAACTTGGCAACGTTTAACGCTAAAACCTTATCTAGTGAGGGATGTCTAGCTGTACTATTCGAGGAGCTAGAGGGTGTTAAATGGGATATAATAGGGCTCAGTGAGGTTAGGAGGACAGATGAGGCCTATACGGTGCTACAGAATGGGCACGCCCTTTGCTATCGGGGCTTGGCAGACAGAAGAGAACTGGGAGTGGGGTTTCTAATTCACAGAAATATAGCTGGCAACATAGAGGAATACTATAGCATTAATGAAAGGGTGGTAGGTATCGTCATTAAATTGAATAACAGATACAAGATGAAGGTGGTACAGGCTTACGCGCCTACATCCAGCCATGATGACGCTTCAGTTGAAAGCTACTGTGAAGACGTGGAATCTGCAATGAGTAAGATAAAAACACAGTATACTATAGTGATGTGCGACTTTAATGCAAAGGTAGGGAAGAAGCAGGCTGGCGACCAGGCAGTAGGAGATTATGGCACTGGTACTAAAAACGCCAGAAGAGAACTACGAGTAGAATTCACAGAACACAATAATTTACCGATTTTGAATACCTTCTACTGAAAACGAGAAAACCGCAAGTGGACATAGAGGAGCCCTAATGGCGAAAATAAGAACGAAATAGACTTTATAATGAGTGCACACCCAGGAATCGTGCAGGATGTTGAAGTGGTTGGCAAAGTACGATGCAGTGACCACAGAATGGTACGCTCTCGAATTAGCCTAAACTTGAAGAAGGAACGACAGAAACTGATATGCAAGAAGCCAATCAATGAGCTAGCACTGAGAGGGAAAGTACAGGAATTCAGAGTGTCGCTTCAGAACAGGTACTCAGCTCTTAGGAAACCAACCTTAGCGTAGATACAATGAATGATAATCTGACGAGTACCATTACGGTGTGTGCAGTGAAAGTTGGGGGCAGGGTAGTTAGACAAGACACTGGCAAGCTTTCCCAGGAAACGAAGAATCTAATTAAGAAGCGTCAAATCATGAAAGTCTCAAGTACAACAGACAAAATAGAACTGGCAGAACTTTCGAAGCTGGTTAATAGGCGTAAGGTATGCGATGTAAGAAGGTATAACATGGAGAGAATTGAACACGCTTTGAAAAACAGAGGAAGCGTCGAACCAGTGAAGAGGAAACTCGGAATAGGCAAAAATCGAATGTATGCACTAAGGGATAAACAAGGCAAAATAACTACCAATATGAATAGGATAGTTAAAATAGCGGAGGAGTTTTACAGAGATCTGTACAGTAGCGGAGTCAACCACGACCCTAATACTATAAGAACTGGCAGTAACCCAGATGACACCCCACCAGTAATGATAGAAGAAGTCAGAAAAGCTTTGGAGAGCATGCAAAGAGGCAAAGCTGCTGGTGAGGATCAGGTAACATCAGATCTGCTGAAAGATGGAGGACAGATTGTGTTAGAAAAACTAGCCACGCTGTTTACGAGGTGTCTCCTGACGGGAAGAGTACCAGAGTCTTGGAAGAACGCTAACATCATCTTAATACATAAGAAAGGAGATGACAAGGACTTGAAGAATTACAGGCTGATCAGCTTGCTCTCTGTAGTATACAAGCTATTTACAAAGGTAATTGCTAACAGAGTAAAGAAAACATTAGAATTCAATCAACCAAAGGAGCAAGCAGGATTTCGAACAGGCTTTTCAACAATTGACCACATTCATACTGTCAATCAGGTAATAGAGAAATGCTCAGAATATAACCAACCACTATACATAGCCTTCATAGATTATGATAAGGCATTTGATTCAGTAGAAATATCAGCCGTCATGCAGACACTATGGAATCAGGGCATAGATGAAGTATGTATAAACATTCTGGAAGAAATCTACAGAGGATCAACTGCTACCATGGTGCTTCATAAAGAAAGCAACAGAATACCAATCAAGAAGGGTGTAAGGCAAAGGGACACAATCTCCCCAATGCTATTTACCGCATGCTTACAGGAGGTTTTCAGAAGCCTAGAATGGGAACAGTTAGCGATAAGAGTTAATGGAGAGTACCTTAGTAATCTGCGCTTCGCCGATGACATTGCATTGCTGAGTAACTCAGGGGACGAATTGCAACTCATGATTACGGAGTTAGACAAGGAGAGCAGAAAGGTGGGTCTTAAAATTAATCTGCAGAAAACGAAAGTAATGTACAACAACCTCGGAAAAGAGCAGCGCTTCGAGATAGGTAATAGTGCCCTTCAAGTTGTAAAAGACTATGTCTACTTAGGGCAGCTAATAACCGCGGAGCCGAACCCTGAGATTGAAGTAACTAGAAGAATAAGAATGGGGTGGAGCACATTCGGCAAGCACTCTCAAATTATGACAGGTAGATTGCCACTATCCCTCAAGAGGAAGGTATATAACAGCTGTATCTTGCCGGTACTTAGCTACGAAGCAGAAACCTGGAGACTTACAAAGAGGGTTCAGCTTAAATTGAGGACGACGCAGCGAGCAATGGAAAGAAAAAGGGTAGGTGAAACCTTAAGAGATAAGAAGAGAGCAGAGTGGATTAGGGGACAAACGGGGGTTAAAGATATCATAGTTGAAATAAAGAAGAAGAAATGGACAGGGGCCGGGCATGTAGCGCATAGACAGGATAACCGCTGGTCATTAAGGGTAACAAACTGGATTCCCAGAGAAGGGAAGCGGGTTAGGGGGAGACAGGAGGTTAGGTGGGCAGATGAGATTAAGAAGTTTGCGGGTATAAATTGGCAGCAGCATGCACAGGATCGGTTTAACTGGCGGAACATGGGAGAAGTCTTTGTCCTGCAGTGGACGTAGTCAGGCTGATGATGATGATGATATTAATGAAGTGGCACCCTTGGAGCATTAATGCTAATGTTGCTATGTTAAAACTGCTCCCCCCTCCCAAAAAAAAAGGAAAGAAGTTTGTAGCACGATTCGCACCAACGACCTCACTGCTCTGAAAGTTACGCGCTGGCTTACGGAGCCACAGCCACTGTTCTGTGCAGTGGGTTTATCAAGCCGGTTTTGTATTGTTGTCATGCTGGACTTCGCGTAACGCTTGCTGTTTCTGACATATTGATACATCTTTCCTTACATGATCAAAAATTTGTGCCCGAGTGCAAGACTGGCGTATATTTCATGATTCTACTGCTTGCACCATCTCTTGTGTCTGTTCAAAAGCACATATTTTTGCCCCTCATTCTGTAAGTACATATGCATCACTCGGCCACTGAGGTGGACACTGTCTGGTCTGATTGATTGCATAGTTGACACTTGCAACACGTATGTGTTTTTCTGTAATCACCATTGTTGTCTCACCCACTTGTTGTGCAGGTGGTGGCTCGGCTTTGCTGACATACCCAGTGCCGCCCTTGACCCTGAAAGATGTCACTCGAACCACGCAGCTGCTGCAGTCGAATGGGGCTCGCATCACGGAGATCAACGCAGTTCGCAAGCGCATATCGGCTGTCAAGGGCGGGGGCCTGCTGCGACAGACCACTGCTCAGATGCTGTCACTCATTCTGTCCGATGTAGTGAGTTGATCCAGAGAGCTTTCTTTTACTCCTGTCCTTGCTCCAGCAGTGCTTGGATAGCAAAATTTTTAGGATAGATGTGGTTGTGACATTTGAAGGGACACTAAAATGAAACTATGGCTTCGTTTTGATTGACCAACTCTGGGCAGTTGAGCAGGCCCTTGAAGCAGCGGACAGATGTCCCGGCTCGGGTTTTCCATGTGCCGACATGGGAGACCCGAGTCGGGACATCGATTTGCGGGACCATTGAGGAAGTTTTTTCATTCATTCATTAAATTGACAAACTGTATTCTTAGAACTCCATAGTCATGTTTCAGCATCCTAATTAATTATTGAGGAAAAAATCAAGTTTGAAGTTTTATTGTTAATTATTGTGCCGAAATGTTGGCACAGGACTTGAAAAATTTTCAAAATGTATTTTTCATAAGATCGGCTTGATAAAATTTTCTGAAAGTTGATATCCTAGATCTGTGACCCCCACAGATGACAATGTACTTCATTTCATCGGCCTACGTTGGACCCAGTATACACCTTAAAAATATATGACGTCATGGTGTTTGGTGTGGGCGTCTCCACCCACATTTTCTTTTCGCTTGTTTTCTCACTTACCAAGCATTGTGTGGCGGTAAGGGTGGCATTCTTGGTATTTTGAAATTGTATTTCACTAATACATAAAAAATCGCTGTGCTCTTTAGTGTGTTTTTATGATTCCATGAGTCAAAGCGGTAGAGGGAGAAGTTCATATTAGTCAGACCTGTGCCCCCCAAAAGATGTAATACTGACAGTGCAAGAGCAGCGCTGAGCTTTGTAGTTGTTGATGAAGTTACCTCCAGATCAAATGTGTCTCCCACTTGTATTCTAGCACAAATCTTTTGTATCCACATGCATTCCCAATTCCACATACATACTGTATCCTTTGTTTTGGGCATGTTATTTAATTGCAATAATAATCAAGGGCATTCCAGACTGTTCTAAGACATTCAGGTGAGCCAAGCAATAGATAAGATGTAAAACATTTAGTTTGAGATTACCTGTCACATTCAAAGAGAAAAAAAAGTTTGCATCTCGAAGTGTGCTGTGGAAAAGCATTGTCCTGAGGCTGGAACGATTGCATGGAAACAAAAAAATACTTGCAGCACGTTAGTGCACGTAGAAAGGTTGAAGGTGGCCCCGCAGCAGTGGTCTAGTGGCTGTGGCACTTGGCTGCGAACCTGCAGGTCGTGGGATCGAATACATTTTTCATGGAAGTGACAGTAATGCAGGCCCGTGTGCTCAGATTTGGGTGCACGTAAAAGAACCCCAGGTGGTCGAAATTTCCGGAGCCCTCCACTACGGCGTCTTTCATAATCATATGATGGTTCTGGGACATAAACCCCACATATCAATCAATTAATCAAAGATTGAAAATGCACTACATGAGTAATGTCAGGTTGTGTATAGTGCCATTGAATACTGGGCACCACTTCATACTTATATGTGCACAATATGCAGGGGGGGCGGGGGGGGAATGAAGAATGAAGCCTGGGTTGCTTGGCACCAGTTAGGGCTTGGCCTCTGATGGCTGGCCTGCCTTCATGCTTCAGATGTAAAAACAGTGAAAAAAAGAGAAAACACAGGCGCTGAAGTCGCAACTAAAAATTTTTTTGGAAGGCACATGCACATATATCAAGGCTCTACTTATGCAGCACACCATGGCATCTGTGCAGCAGAGCAAGTAGGATACAAAGATTACCTTTATGATGAAATGCAACTTGTGTGTAAACATATTATAAATTTTTTTATTAATAAATTTCTTAGCACGCACAAAAAACATACCAACACTCCCAGCTATCTGTTGCACTTTAGTGTGTAAACACCCGAGAGAAAATAACAAACCTTCTACTGAGAAAAACATGCTTAGTTGTTCACAAAAAATAATCGCTGTAACGCAACATTGCTGTGTCTACATTTCACCAAGAGCCATAGGCCATTCACTCATGCACCTTTCTTCCTCTCTTTCAATGTAAAATGCTTCCATCACCTTTTTAGTGCATTTGTCCCCATGCCAAACAAACAAGTGGTTTTCTCTGCCATCGGCTGGCAGCTGCACTCTCTGCAATGTGCTTGCAATTTCAAATAACCGGAAGTCGTTATTGAGGCTAACTGTTTTCTTAATTTTACATTGATGCATCCTGGTGTGTTCTATGTAAGCACCCCCCCCCTCCCCCCCGCATGATAGTGTGACCAATATACCTTATTTACTCGCATATTAAACCCACCCCTGACCTTAGCCTTCAAAAAAGAAAAAAACTTTTTTCTAATGTATCTGTTCATTTTTTTTTTGGTGTGATAGCCAGTGCCATTGACGGTTGAAACAACAATAAATCAAGACATTAGATCACAAAATAAGAATGCACTAAAATTGAAAACATAGTTTTGCAAGCCATGCTAAAAAGTTGCGAGCAGTGCAAGTGCAGACGACGTCCGTAAAAATTTGAAGGTCGTGACCCTTACATTTTATGGCAAAGCGCCATTTGTCCAATGCAGGAGAAAACTCTTTGCTGATAGCGTCAAGCAAGCACAGCGGCACGAAAACAAGGCGCGTGGCATAGAGCATGGCCTCCAAGATGGCGAGCGCGCCAAAACGTTCCGCACTCCTGCCATTTTGAAGGCCATGCATAGAGTTTCATTATTATATGACACTCTATAATGCGTAGCCTTCAAACTGGCACGCCCGTGATGTAGAAACACACCGCGCGTTCACCATTTGCCGACTGCGCGTTATGCACCCGCAACGTTTCTGCGCCGAAATCCGACGCTGCGTTTTATTGCAGTTATATGAACACTCTCAGCTGGGTTTTGCTGCCGAAGTCGGTGTCACTCACTGTATATGTATACGTATCTATATATATACAAAAACTCAAAAAAGAAAAAAAAAGCCACCCGCGCTAGGTGTGTGCAGCTTGGATGGATGCGCCGACACGCGCTTATCTCCCACGCGTAGTTTGCCGCTCGAATTGGGAGGGGGGGGGGGGTTCAGACGCTTGCACGCACACCCTTATCCTTTGATATGAAGAATCGTGTGCCTACGGCTTTGACCGGAGTGATTGGGTTTAGTAGTTGCTGGGTGCACAAAAATCACTTTGCTCGCTGGGGAGGCCCAATTTGCGAAAAGAGTGTGCTTTTCAAGCATACTGAAGTAATAACAGGGACACTTGTTCGCCCTCATCTGTACCTGTGGTTACGTTTAGTGCATTGTTTTTGTTTAAACAGCGTGTTACGTGTCGAGCGGTAAACGTTGTTATTTCACTCTCGTCCTGTGTGTCTTGTTTTTGTGCATTATGTGTGCGCGAATAGGGAACTGCACATTTCAATCTGCTATCCTCAGCATTACACTCTAAGTTGTTGCTATCGCACTCATTGCTTCGCCTTTGTGGTGAAACTCTGAGTTTGTTGTTGTCGGGTTTGTCGTTGTGAACTTAGTTGGGACACCTGCTTCACTAGCTACATGGCTGGTTACAAACAGCATGCGCTGGAGCATTGGAACCCAGCGGCTGGACGACACTTCAGCGTTGATCCCTGCGCTTTCATTACGGGAGGAAAAAAAAAGAGCTTCGGGCTACAAAAAAGATTTGTGATGCATTTCATGACCCCAAACAAGCAAAGCCGTCACTCGAGTTTTTCGCTGCTGTAACTCCCGTGACTTTTTTTCTTGCGCATATTGAACCCTCTCCCCAAATTGGCATGAGCTTTTCTGAAAAAAAAAAAAAGTGGGTTTCTTACGTAAGTAAATACAGTACAACGTGTGATTCACATTGAACATATCTATTGTTTTTCTGGAGAGAGTGCGCAAATCCGAACTTCTAAGCAAGCGGGAGCAAATATACGACATCTTATTGGGAGCTGACAGTACAACACACACCCCATACCTACTGGCCACACTCCTCGAGCAAAGGGAAAACTTGTGCAAGTAGGGGACTACAACTGATTTTAGATGCGAAGCAGCTCTTTGACTAGTCTGTGTAACGCTGCCCTCCATCCGCACCATGCTTCTCTGGTCGCAGGTTTTGGGGCGGTGCCAAGTAGGTCACACTATTCCTCACACTGCACTCGCGTTAACATCACTCTCTCCGTAGCAACGTCTTTCTGCGATGAAACTTACAGAAAACTGGACCTGCCTCCCGTGTCCTTGCGTTTCAAACAAGCGTTAACTCGAGTGAACGCTGCACCGAGTTTGCTTCAAAGCGTTTTTTCAGCACCCGCTTCCACGCCCGTTTCAACCAGGTCAACGCCATGCGCACCGCTGCTGCTTCGCATTCCATCAGGGTTTCCTTCGGGGAGATGGTACATAGTTTTTGCATGCGCTCTTTTTTTCTACGCATCCTATTAACGCCTTTGACCCACTTGGTTAGTTTTTGACAGCCCCTCAAGATATCCGTATCATGGTAGCCCGTCAACTTAGCCTTTCAACTCGGCTCAGGAAACTTTTCTTTGTCGCATGTGTGCACATTTTCTGGAGTGCAGCTTGCAGTGCGGCATCAATAATGGCGGGCTTGACTATTTTGGAATGGCCAGTAAACGGCAAGCTTGTAGAGCCAACACGAATGTTCCTCATGAAAGTGCAGTCTAATATCTAAAAAGTAAAACTTTTTTTTTTCTGGTTGCTCGTAGGTGAACTTTAATCCATGGCAAGAATCCTTAAAAATGTTTAATACTAATCAGTTCTTATTCAATGCTGACTGCCAATTTTGATTAAATTTCAGGAATCATTTACATACTGAAAAAGGTGGCAGGACAAGTTGTGCAACTTTGGCAATAAACCTGTCGACTTGACCCAGGAAAATATAACCCTAAATCGGTGCCACCCTAGATTCAATGCAAACCCTGGATTTTTGGACGTAAATGCCCCTTTTCCATTCTACAAACATAGACTGCAAGTAAAACGTCAGTAATTCTGGAAAGTTTTCCAAGGAAATGTCACAACTGTCAACGAACTTGACTTAATTTACTCAACAACAGAA